GGTGCTAAACAGATGTCACGCCAACTATAGTTTGTGTTTCTGCTGATGGTATTTAAGTTTGAACAAATAGACAATTGCCTTTCATTGTAATCATTATATAACTACATCTTACTGTATAAAGTATTTCCTGATAATAAGTTTTTCTATTTTTTGATATTTAACCAAATCCTTTTGTTGTTTTTAAAAATTTTTTTTCACAAATCCGAAAATATCAAAATGAAAAGGTATTGAAAGTAGTTTTTTTGTCTTCTCCTCTACTCCTCTAGCATAGTCCATATTTAGTTTTTGTTTTAATGGAGTATCAAAAAATACATTAGCAACACCCGAGCCTTAACAGAAAGATGTTTTTAGGGAGGGATTTTGTGAAGAAATTTAATTATTGTTATAATTTGTCTAACATACTCATTATTTTTTTTTATTATTTACTGACAGGTGCAAAATAACAGATTATTCTTTCAATAGCATTAGTAAAATTAGCGTCGTCAGCCCTCGCGACTGTGAAACCAAATTCTAGATTAACAGTTCAAACTTGAAAATCAATTTTTTTTCTAAAATTTCTCTAAAATTAGACTCAATGCTTGATTGGCTGCACATATTCGATATCCATTGTACTGGTTGATTTTCAAAACACATTTTAATCAAAGCTAAACCAACTATAATAGAATTTTCATACAGACTGAAAAACAATTAAAGTTCTTAAATAATCCACAAAAAACCAGTGTTGGCTACATCACATGAAATCGATTTCAAAAATCGCTTTGAACACAAGCCCTAAACCTTCAGATGTAAAAGAAGTCGATACAAATGCAGAATTTAGTACTAAATTTTTTACTTTTGAAGAAATCAACTTTAGTTTCATTTGAAAAGTTAATCAAAGTTTTTCTTAATATAAGTTTTTTCATATCGGATCATCAGGATTGTGAGTACCTTCCAATTTGTATGCAGTAATTTTAATACTAAGAACAATGAACCAATGTTTTTTTTGTTAATCCCGAACCAGTAATGTTAAGTTTCAAAAGATAAATATGTTCAAGTTTGGAAGTTTTTAAATATACAAAAAAATGTCACGGTGAAAATTAGTTCTGATCTCAAAATACTATCGTTTTATACAACGGCAAAATATGTGTTGGGCAGAAAACAGGACAGCTCATTTGTGACAAAAAACAAGACAGCTCGTTTTTGACAAAAAACAGGACAGCTCGTTTAAGGCCAAAAACTATTTTTCTACCCCCTTAACTGTTCTCAAACTGTTTTTAGGATAAATTTTAACGAAAGACGTTTTTTTGAACTTCAAGTTTCTTCCCCATGAGACAAAACTCAATAATAATTCTTGTATTTTGAGGCGTTTGGAAAATTAGTACAAATCAGCTATCCTTCAGACAATTTAATGTCTTTTTTTTATTGGCGATTGATTCGCCAGACTTAAATGTTTTTATCTTATGCTTTCAGCTTCATAGAATGTTTTTTAGAATGAGCATAAATAATCAAAGCTTGAACCTATTCAGTAATTTTGAAAATTGCAATTTTTTTGTAAAGTTAGCTGGAGGCTACAAAGTATTTTGGACTTTGAGTTGTAGCCAGAGGTAGCTTACTCATAGGGTAATTTCAGATTAAGTACACCGTCTGTTCGTCACGGCCATCTTATTTTCGGCCGGATAGATTCGTGCAACTTCTTAGTCTAATACCAATCTTAATCTTGCTCTTCGCGAGTTAGGTTTATGGAACTTGTTCCGAAGGAGAACAACTGTCTTCTAAGATTTATTCAAATTGTTGTGGTGCTGAAACTACTTGTAGTTTCAGTACCACAACAACTTGAATAAATCATAGAAGACAGTTGTTCTCCTTTGGAACAACAAATAAGT